TTACAAATGGGCTTTTTTCAAAAACACCGGCACCAATATAACCTCGTAGTTGTAACACCCTCGTTAAAAAGACAGCATGTCATCATGCAATAACCCAAATAAAGGTTTCATTGGCGTGAGATTTTCTTTGTTATTATTAACTAAAAATAGTAATATATACAATTTAAGAAAAACGAGTTAGCGTTAGAAATAGTCATAAATTAACTATTTAGATTAATAAAACTAGAAACTAGATCTTAGTAAAAAAAGTAGAATATGTACAAACAAACAATAGACAAGTTAAATATTTAGACTATGCATAAAATTATATTAGATTGAAAAGTAGATCAAATAAATACAAAACTCAATTGAATGTCAACTAAATTCATGTTATTTAAAAAAATATAACTATAAATTAATTATAACTTTTTTTTAACAAGTCACGATGTTCATGTCACCTTAAATAAACAAAATGTGCCCCTACACAATAATTGTACCTATGACAAATGCACGAGCCCAGCCTAGATGCATAATTTTCAGTACTTTTCCATAATAAAAAAATAAAATATAGTTTAAAATCGAAAATACACCGGCAATCATTGACTATATAAAAAGCAGTATTTTTTTCATTTTTAAGTACACCAAATAAAAAAAAAGGTTGCTATGAAAAAACCTATGAACTACAACATTGTCAGTAGAAAATTACACTTTGCATACTGACAACTCTATTAATATATATTATGAATTAACAAAATTTCAAATAAGTAAATACAACACTATTAATTAATTGGACTGAACATTGCTTACTCCTCTGTCAGCTTATTTCTGCTGTACTTCAAGCTTAATCGTACTTAATTGTTCAAGGGTTCGACACAATAATGGTGCCATTTCTGTTTTGATATAAACAAATTTCCAAAGGTCAATAAAAGAAAATTAACATATACCAATACCCAGGCATGGGCACCCTTACAAAATCTATTTGATCTATTTTATCGGAATTTATCCATGCTTTACTAATAAAGACACTGGCATTGACACTTACTTACAGGAATAATTAACGTGTATATGAATTTTTTTGTGCTGTATTAATAAGAGAATAAGTCAAACAGTCGCGACACGAATAGTATTACACGCGCGTATTACACGCTCATTCATACTCCTTCACGGGGGACGCACACGTGACAAATATTTAAACAGAATCACGGTCGAGAAACATTTTCATTTAATTAGGTATTGTCATTCAACTTAACTTATTGGGTTGTCCGGAAAATAATGCAGGATTTTGGTATTAAACAAAAAAAAAGAAACTAGTTACTTTAAAGCAATGTTCTTTAATCAAAATAATTTCCCATACTCTCAATACATTTCTCCCAACGTGTTGGTAACTTATTAATTCCGTCTGAGTAGAATTCAGAATTTTTAGAATTGATAAAGTCAATAAATGCATTTTCCAGTTCCGTTTGATTTTTGAATATTATGTGTTGTAAGTAGTGGTCCAGGTGTCTAAAAAAATGGTAGTCAGTAGGCGAGAGGTCCGGAGAGTAGGGTGGGTGAGGCAAAGTTTCATAGCCAAGCTCCAATAATTTTTGTGACGTTACACGTGACACATGTGGTCGAGCGTTGTCATGCAACAAAATGGGCCCTTTCCGATTGACCAAAGAGGGCTTCATTACTGCCAATTTCTGATGCATGGTATTAATTTGGTTACAGTATGATTCAGCATTGATGGTTTCGCCAGGATTTAAGAAGCTGTAGTGTATTAAACCAAATGAAGCCCACCATACCGTAACCATAACCTTTTTTTGATGAGTTGGGGGCTTTGGAGCTTCTCCTTTGTCGAGCCACTGTCCAGAACGTCTAGTGTTATCGTAGAGAATCCACTTTTCGTCACATGTAACAATTCTGGCCAGAAATGGGTCATTTTTGTTTCGACAAAGAAGTGATGCACAAACATCAAAGCGCTGATTTTTTGGCGATCGTTTAATGAGTGTGGAACCCAATTTTCGAGTTTTTTCACTTTTCCAATCGCCTTGAGGTGGTCAGCGACGGTCGTTTTACTGACTTTGAGTTGCTCTGCAAGTTCTCGAACAGTTGTTTTGGGGTTTTCTTCCACCACTGATCGCAGAACATCATCATTAAGAGAGGAAGGCCTTCCACGACCTTCTTCATCTTCAAGGCTGAAATCTCCCTCCCGAAATTTTTTAAACCACCTTTGCACAGTGCACTCATTAACACAACCCTCGCCCCAGACTTGGTTAATGTTTCTAGCCGTTTGGGCTCCGCTTCGGCCGAGTTTAAACTCGTAAAAGAAAATCGTACGAAATTCTCGCTTTGACATTATAAGGATGACTGAATTATTTCCAAGTAGCGGAATGCTACAGAGGTAAACAAACAATATCATTTGGAAGAGGATTAATAAGTGTTGACATTCATACAAATGAGTAATCCTGTTTTTTTAATGAAAACTTAAAATCCTGCATTATTTTCCGGACAACCCGATATATACTGGAATAACAAGTTCGACGTGAGGTATTCTGAGTAATTTTGTGCGTGTTTTGCTTTGTAGTGTGTATGTTTTAGTTTTTCACGTGGTGAAAATACACCCTAATCCCAGAGAGATTATCAATATACTACATACGTTTATTAAACATTTCCTCAACCATATTCATCCCAGCATAGCCCATAGAATTTTATTGGAGAATAATTTGAAAAAGGTACTATAAAGTGGTTCTGACCATTCGACCGCGTCATCAAACGAGTATTTAGACACAAGTTCCCCTAAAATGATTTAATACTTTAATTAACTTACTTTACTCATTCACGACATAACACATATTTAATCAGATTCACGGGCAAGAAACATTTTCTATAATTGTATTTTGTAATAATACGCCGTTACCCTGTTGCCAGAGGTGCTCTTGGTCTGTAAATACATAGTTGGTTGTAGGTAGTTATTTCAATTTGAAATTTCTCTGTGATGTCAGCGTGGTGATGAACCTTAAAGTTGTTGCAGATCAATTTGGCTGCTTATCTTTGATGGGTTGGTCCATCACACCCGTTTCGGCATTTCGCCATCTTCAAGTGTTAAGTCTGTGAGATTTTAATGAAGTTAAAGATCGTGAAAATAACTGAATGTTTTCCTTCTAACGGGCCTCATCCCTGATGGGTTTTTTTCATTTTTTTTTCAATTGTCAATGGAATATGACATCGAAAAATTATGTGCACTATATTTTTGAAACGCGGGCACGCTTTATTGCTTGTGTGATAGGAAAAAAATATGTTTGTGAGTGTGCGTCTGTGGATTGTGTGTTTGAGTGTGTTTAATGTGTGGTAACTAGTGGCCGTTAATTAATGATTATTTAGAGATTATGAGATGTAAGTTTGGAAAAACATTTTCTTTATCGTGCCAATGTTTCTTTCTTTATTGAGATCATATTCGGGGTCTGGGATTATAAACATTTTAAATCATATTTAAATTATACAAATATATATAAGAAGTAAAAATGAATTTATACAATGATGTACGCAATATAGAAATTTTAGGCTTAATCAAAGTATTTGTACTCACCCAAAGTGTGAGTTACACAGAAGTGTACACAGAAAACACATTTTTTACCTTAACTTCATTAAAATCTCACTGACTTAATCGTTGAAGAGTTTTAATGTCCATTGTGTATTAAGTGTTATTTTGTGTGCTGTGTGTGTTGTACTTTGCTTTGTGTTACGTTGTATGTGTGCGTCTGACAGTGAATTACATTTTTTCTGTTTAATTTGTGAAGGAAGAATTTATGTGTTTTCATTTCCTTTTCTTTCATTTTCTTTATAGATCGTAGAACCCTGAAATACGAATTCATTGAGATTTTTTTTACAACGATCGGAAACTTTTAAAAAAGGTCTTGCGTTTGTTTTTGTTATTAGAGTATTACGCGTGTCGTTTTGATGTGTTGAGTTCTACGTGTGCCTGTATATGTTATGCATAATGTTTCGCGTTGTTTTATTCTGTGCATGATGTAAGGGTTTTTATTATAGTGTTTGTGAGTATGTAATGTAATTTTATATTAAAAAAAATGAATAGGAATCAGGGAGGCACATATACCTCAAAAGGACGACGAAATAACTAAATGTTTTATTTCTAATTGGCATCATCCCTGATCGTTTTGTCAATTTAAAATTATAATGATGACAACTAATCCACTAATTACATAGAAAAATTACGTGCACTATATTTTTTAAACGCGTGAGTTTCTGTGTTGTGTGTTTAATGTTATTTGATGTGGTGGGAGCGTTGTGTTTTGTTTTGTGTTATGTTTTATGAGTGCGGATGAGTTGAATTACATTTTAATTTGTTTTTTCAGCTTATAATTTTGTGAGGGGGCGCAATGATCTTTGCATGTGTTTTGATTTTCTTTTCTTTCAGTTTTTTTTTATAGATCGTAGAAATTTGAAATAATAATGAAATTTTTCTTACTACTTTTAGAAACTTTATACAATATGAAATACATATTAGTAAAAATTTAATTTGAATATACTATTAACTAATTGCTATCACAGCGCTTTTTTTGGCGCACTTTTGAAAAATGTTTATAAACTATAATTATCAATAAATAATTATAAAATTTTCTATTAAGATTTTTTTAACTAGCCGTACCGAAACAATTGTATGATTATGCTAGCGTACATACAAGCATAAATAATTTGAAATGGTAGAACAATAGAAGAAAATGAGGAACCGAGTGGATGTAACATTTTCTCAGGCAAACTGTAACCTCCCCGCTCGAAACTGGATATGTACATAACACTCGAAAATTACGTTTTCCCCCCAAAAAATTGAAATGGCGCTTTTATAATATTGGTTCTTATAAAATAAAATATTCTAATGTTTAAAAGAAAAAAAAAAGAAGGAATGTTGTGTGGAATTACGGCCGCGGGTTTTTGAGTAGCAAAGTCGTTCTCAAGCGTTTCAAACAGAATAAATAGCTTGCACTTTCAAAATTGAGTAAATTTATTAAATTCTGATTCACCTTGTTTCCTCACGGGCATCTTAAGTCCGAAAGTCAGATAAAATCGGAGATCCACAATTCCGATTTAAATCCTTTTTTCTGGCTGAAGTCCAGCTCTTCCACGTCTCGGAAATCTTCGAAGAAGGGGATACCTCACCGGCCGTCGACCCACAAAATTGAATCACTCGAAATTTTCGATTGAAACCAGGAAAATGCACAAAAATCTGACAGGCCAGGAGGACTAGAGGGTTGAGAGATTTGTTTTTCTTATCAGTCCGCCTCGATACCGTTAACCGGCTAACATCGTTTCGATTTTTGTCTTTTTTTTCTCTACCGAGAAACACTTCTATCCAGCCGGGCTATCTTTTCCGCAAAGGGTCGAAACTGCTCAAAACAAAAACTGACACTGGTCTTCTGTGACTTTCCTAGGCGAAAGGCGATAAACGACTGATGTGATTGGTCCCGTCGCCGACCCCTTTTGACGCCCACCTAAACCAGGCCCCCTTCCGAAAATAACGGCCGAATATTTTATCAAACTTATAAACAACTATTTGACCGCTAATTTTTATTTTCAAGAAAAACAATTGTTGTCCTTTTTTTTTCTTCTCCAATTTAAACAGTAATAATAATAATATTCAATTGACAAGCATGCCATTGCAACAGTGAGCACATTATAACCTTCCAGCTATCACAAATTCACAAAAACACTGATAAAAAAATTCGAAATCGCATAATTCACTTGCCGAAAATTTATTCAAAAATGAATGATAAAGGTGTTATAAAACTGACAAGGAGTCAAGCCGCTGAAATGCAGTGGAAACTCATTTACACTTGGCCTACAAAATCTGACACGTGAGTTTGTCACTGGCTTTACCGGTTTCTAAAAATCCTTGTGATAACACATTTTTCCTGGTTTTTTAACAGTAAACTCACAGTTGTTAACAACATAAACGAAAGTTATTAATTTTAATTAGTTTCTTTTATTTTTATAAATTTAAATGCCTTTATCACTATTCAATAATATTTTAAAAGATATACTTAAAAATAAACAGGATCTGAAAGTTATTTTTTTAAATTAATCCGGTCCGTCTACACTCTTAAGTTTTTGATGTTAACGTCAAACACGTTTCTGCTTTACACCATCTTCAGTGAGGAACTGTCTTATAACTGGGTAGCAACAAACACATGAGTAAACTGACCCAGTGCCAGTTCAGCATGTCCACCACCCACCATTAAATTTAGTTTCTCCTGCTTAGGTTTTTTTTTAAACAACAATATCAAAATAAATACTCTAATTCACTCTTAGTTAAAAGTTTAAACTGGCAGAATTTAGACTGTCTGAATTAATGGTGAATGTCAAATTTTTGAGCTTTATGAGTACAAACTCAGTTTATAACGGACTGAGTCGGTTCAGTGTTTGGTGATAATTCACATACCACTCTGAAAAAATCATTTTGGTTTTTGAAATTTCTTGATGTTGATGAAATCCTCAAGGATGGGGTCATTTTAGTTAGGTTTAAGATTTGAAAGGAAGGCATCTATTTTCTGGTATGAACTTTCCTGCCAAGCCTTTATTCCTTCCTCCTTCCCAACTCCATCTCTTTCTCCCAACAATTCACCTTTGTATCAATCTCCTGGAATTACCTGTGTCAAATGGATTAATTACAAAACCTGTATAAATGTGAACCACATTATTTAAGTGATAGTGTACTCTAGTATAAGCCTTAGATTCCAGTTTCAAAACAAACTTTTTTTTTATCTTGACCCACTCTATTCCAGAATCGGAGACAACCAAAAAATTTGGTTGTGTTCATCTATGAAACATAATAGTGGGTCAACACACATACATAGTGGGTCAAGATAAAAAATAAAAATTAATAATAACCTATAGAATAGAATAACAATAACAATATTATCAAGATAATATAGTTTTTATAAACTTATTGTTGGATAAAATCTTCATTTAATTATTTTACACAATTATATCAATCTTGAGATTTCTCTGTGTTGTCAACGGGCTGATGAACATGAAATTTGGTCATTACCAATCATTTTGGACTGCCTATCCTTGCTGGATTGGCTGATGCATTTCAGCTTTCCTCTTTCTTCTGTTGTGTTTGTAAAGAAGAAATTGAAAAGAAATCCTTGCCTTGCCCTTCTTATAACCCAGACCAAAGTGATCGGACTCACTTACATACAGTGATTTCATTAGACTGGATGTTTCCAAAATTCTAGCTTCTCCTGTAAAAAACATTACGAACACTAAAACTAATGTGACTATGAGGGTTTGTGTACTGTGGTGTATTATTTACAAATCTGTATCAAAACTCACTCAGATTGTCCTTAAAAAGCCCCTACATTATTGTGTGAATAATCATTTGTTTTTTCTATGTGGGTTTCTTTATGTGCAGGCAAACTACACCGCTCAAGAATATTATTAGCAATCAATAAAAAATATACTACTCAATATTATTAAGTTTTAGTTTGGTCATTTTTGTCTATCCTTGCTGGTTTAGTCTGCCAGATGAATTACAATATTACATCAGCCATTTGCCATTTTTTTCATCTTTCATAGCAAAGCAAAAAATTGAAAAGAAATCCTTGCCTCACCATGTTTATAACCCAAATTGAACTGTTCAGGATGACCAAGCTACAGGTTCTTTCTCTACTTTTGTTTACAATCATTGTGACACTTTAATGCACCTGTTGAAATAGAATAAAATCCAAACTAAGAAATTGGTACAAACTTTTAGTTTAATATGACAACTCTTTATATTTGTTGTAACTTCTTCCTATGTCTTTTTTTTCATTGCCCATCCATTTCCAACAACAAAATTGTTTTTAAAAAATCCATAAATAGAAAACAAATAATATGTATAAATCTAATAGTGTTTGTTTTATGTGTATATTTAAAATTGCTTTATTCCCCTGTATCCTAAGTTGCATGCATAGTAGCAAGTTTGTTTAAAGCGAAAAAAGAAAAAAAATCATTTGTACATTTTTTTCCAGCTGGCCGTATTACTATGGGTTAGGGGCACTTTCAGTCGCAGCGTCGCTTTCATCAATTTATATATCAGTACATTTCAAAAGAAAATTCAAACTTGGAACATTTGGCAACATGTCATTGATGTTTCCAAGTATAATGGTGCCTCCAGTAATACTATCATTGTCCCACCAAAAGGTATTCAGTATTAACTTTTCTTGATTGGAAGTAATGAGTTGGAAATAATAAAATCAAATTATGTTCAATTTTTTGGTAAACAATGGCATTTTTAATAATTTATATATTTTTACAGTACAGTGTAAATCAGCCATTTTACATTTTTGTTTGGAAATTACTCAATTCAAATAATAATTACTACTCTACTCTATTACATTTGATACAATTGACTAACTTTAGATTATATATCTCATTGACACCAAATAATTGAAACAATAATATACACTGTAATACACATCATGTTAATTGAAGAATGTTAGGGAAAGAAAGGTCTTCTGTACAAATCTTTGGTAGATTGGAACATAAACTTAATCAATATTAAATAAAAATTTAACATTTAATTTTTTTTTTCAATTTGTGTTGTTTTGCAGCTGGTATCTGAGCCAATTCTTCTACAAACAGAATGTCCAGTTTGTATTCAGTTCCGTTCTTTAATGATTCAGAACCTTGTTGGACTGGGATATCCCTTGCTGATGGCACCTACACTAAGCGTTGCAGTAAGCACATAATTAATTATTATATATTCGAGTTTACATTTTGATTTATTTTTATTTTTAAATTACAGTTGGCTAATGTGTTCAGTACGATGAAACTTCCTACTTTCTCCATAAAAAATATACCAGAATTCTATTACTTATTTACAAAGTTGTCCAAACGATTAAAACTCCCTCTTTTATTTCTATTTACTTTCCACTCAGCAATTTCTATTTATGTTGCAAATCAGGAGGCATATAGTTTATATACAATTTTAGATAAGTTAGATTCACAGAATTGAAAATGATAATCTTCTGAACATTTATTTCTTTTGTTATACACTAATTAGTTAAACAATGTAAAAATGTATATTAAACATCTTAAAAATGATTGTTTGTAATATTAAATAATAATTTCTTTTTGTTTAATTCTGTTACTTATGAAACCTATGGATTTGTTAATTTATTTTTGATAAATTCCAAGTTTTATTTTCAATTTCATCATTCATATATTCCTCTCTCAGGCAAGACAGAGACCGTCTCCTCATCCAGCTGCAACCCAAGAGCTCACAGAAAGATTTAGGACTTTGTTAATTTCAAATACTTATTAACTCCATTTATTTTGCTTTAACCTTTTATAAAATCAGATTATACAACCTAAAAATAGCAATAAAATAAAGAATTTTCTTGAGTATCATAAATGGAAACTTATGGACTTAACCACACTTCTTAATTCAAAGTCAGCAATCAAAGGATCCTCTCATTTTAAAAATTGAACATTAAAGATTTTTAATCAATTGAAATTGTAATAAAGCATGGCTTATAAAACTATTATTTGAATCAGACAGTTTTGGAAAAGGAGGTATGTAAAAATGTGGCTTGAAGAAAATAAATATGGTTACTACACAATAACAGTTAATTAGTGTAAAATTAAAATTTAAAATTGCTACTCTAAATTATCTCTTGTTGGCATTTTCTCAGTGTAGGGTTCTAATTAATAAATGTATACAACATACATTTATTTTCATAACCAGCATCCTCTTGAGTATCAAATGGTCTATCTCAGTCTGTAACCAATGTCCCATATAATGCTGAAAAGGAAGGAGCAAACAAATTCCCATCCTTTAAACTTAATCATAGGATGGTCTCATAAAGGTACTGTACTGTATGAGGCTCAAAGATAGAAAAAATTCACTATTACACCTTTACTCAAGCAAAGGCTCCTATGATGAAAATGTAAGCAAATAATGAAACACTCATCATCGATACACCCCACAAAGATAACAGAGGCTCCATACCAGAGGAAAATCAAACTTATTATCTTTTACCCTTAACAGTTACCAAATGATATGTTTTCTAGGTACTTAAGTTTCCTCATATAACTATAAACTCAGATCTGACTTTGTTTCTGAAAAAAAGCCCATTTGTAATTATGGCGGGTTTGAATGCAGGGCCTCTGGATTTGAACCTGGGACCTTTACCTTACAGTGATGAGCGCTGTGTCAATACCTAAACCATTGTGGTCACCAACCCTCTGACCTTTTTAAAATCAATAACACCTTTTATCTCCAACTTCATTGCCTTAAAAATTAATTTTTGGCAACTTTTCAAAATATTTTGCATTTGTTCAATTAGTCCTTTGAACTTTCAATTTCTCTTTGCTCATTGATGTAAAGCTACAATTCTAGTTTTCTTATAATCCCAATATTAGTAAACCACAGGTTTATTCCACTTTAAGTCTTCTGATATTGTTATCTTTTTTCTTTTTTTTTTGTAATAATTTAGAAGCCAAACATCTACCATCATGTTTTTTGGTTAAATGAGGGTTTTTAACACCTAGATGGAAAACAGCACTGTCAGGGTTGAGATTAAGACCCCCAAAGCAACGACCAGTCAGAAATCTTATCAATTGCAGTTCAGTGAATGCACTTAAGGGATTTGCAAATATATTGGTATCACCTGCAAAAGTACTGATTTCACAGTGAATTTTGTCATTTATATAACTAGTAAAAAGGATTAATAGAATTGGGCCCAGGACCGAACTCTGCTAATCACTGAATTGGGATTAGAATATGCTTGATTAACCGTGTCTTTAAAACTCTTGTCAAAGTGGTATGATTTTTGATAATACAAGAAAACACAGGGGATTCCTTGACAAAGCTTTAGGGAAAAAAAGAACAACTTTGAACTTAATAAAGAGCTGTAGATAATAAGAATATTGTAGAAAAGACCAATATTGGTTGTGCAAAAGGTATTGCTGATTACTTTCAACCTTAACCTTAGTTATGCAATTCAATACCATTCTTGAGCTAATATTAAGTTATGCTCTGGTGGTTGCCTGGCTATCTGACATAACTGTCTTTACATTTTAAATCCTCTGTTTAAAGTGAATTGAGTAAATCTCTCAATTGCATGAATTTTGGCTTGACAAATTCTGGTCTACAAGCCCATGGGCTGTGAATTTTTATGTTTGGAGACAAATACCTCTAGCTTGTACCCTAGATCCATCAGTGTACCAACAAGCAACTTCTTTGAGGTTTTTTTTTTACTTTTTCCCTGTCCTTTTTGGTGCCTTGGTTTGCTTGAAAGTTTTATTTAAATTCATATATCCTGTTGTGTAATTGAGTATGACCAGTATTGTATTTTCCTAATTTTTTAGTTCATTCAATCAACTTGATCCTTCCCTTAAGAAGTACTATCATTGCATTCCTTTTACCTGGGTTTTCCCAGGTTATCTCCATCTGAGTGTTTGCTTCACATTCGAAGATGATATGGATGGCTGTTTCTTCCTCCTCATTGTTCAGTGTATGCTTTTTCGTTACCCAAAATTCCCTTTGATCCTGGTACCCTAAATCAGGTTAAGGGATGGTTTCTTCACGTTTTGTAGATTTGGATTCACAGACTAGTTCTGATGTGATTTATTTTATATGATAATACATTGATAGCAACTTGGCTATCCGATCTTATGAGGATTTGTTCTGTGCCAGTATTTAGGATTTTCTAAGGCACAAATATTGATGGCATGGACTTCAGCTTGAAAGACTGAGATGTACTTCCCTAATGATTGCTCATGTTTCCAGCCTGTTCAAAAAATGCCTGATCCAGTTCCTTCATGTGTTTTAGAGACATCTGTATACCATATCATTGTTTCTGATGGGCTCCTTTGTAGTCTATTGTCTTTATATGTTTTAAAGAGGGTTTCTAGGATCATGTAATCAATCCCAATTTCTAAGAATGGATGTCTGATTTTATTAATTATTGTTGCGTTACCCGAGGTAATTCCCATCCAGTTTGGTTGTTTCTACAGCCTAAATGAGCTTTTCCTCGCTCCTCCTTGTATCAATTTTAAAAATTGAGATAGGTTTAGCATAGTTTCTAGGGCATTTGTCGAGGTTGTTGTCATTGCCTCTGAGATACATAGTTTATATTGCCTAATGTTTGGGTAGCTTGTTTTTTTATGAGATGTCCAACAGATTAGTCAGCTGTAGATTAATTTGGGTCTTATTAAAAAATACAATTTTTCTGACACTTTGCTGTTGTTATTTACTTTAAATACAAATACACTTTTTTAATTTTTTTATTTTTATTTTTTCAAATTGCAATACAAGATCCGCCAAGTCTCGCGTTGCGCAGGTAGTTTGTTGACTGTTCACTTACTGTCAGCTATAACAGCTGGCGGTATCGAACTGAAATAGGTCAATCAAATAACATCGACTTTTGTTTTCCTTCATAAATAATACTAGAACTGGCGTTTTTATTTTAATTCGACCCCTAATTACACGATTTATTCAATGAAGTTTAGAATCATTGTTTGAATGTGTGTGTGTATGTGTTGTGTGTTTGTTTGTACTAGTTTTTATGTATGATAATTTGTTTTGACATAACAGTAATACTCTTTTTTTAATGTATGATAATAAATTGTATAATCGTTTAGAGTTTTAATTTTGACTAGTAATAATCCAAAATGTTGATTCCGACCAGACTGACATTTTTACTGTATGCATATTCGGAATAGGTTCCATTATTGTATAGTTCATGTTGTTAATTTTGGTAACAAATTACACTTCTTGTATTTGCTTTTAAATAAATTATTATTGCTATTGTATTGTATTTTTGTTCCAAAATTCCATCGATGTTGTTTATTATCGATTCCACCTAAGGAACGATAGCGATAACCGAATGTGGGAAATCTCTCGTCTGGGGGAGCAATTTTCGGTGGTGTCCCTCTCTCTCTCTCTTTCTCTCTGTCTCAATCTGTTATCGCCTGTATTTGTACCGTTTCCCGAGCTTTTTGTTTCCTTCTTTTGTTCTTTCCGTTCCGACGTTTTCGTTTTTGTGTACCCTTGAGTTTCTCCTGGCGGAGAAAGGATGGCTTCTGGATGCTGTGGCACCAAGAAGCAGAAACTCAACAACAATTCCAGTTGCAGTGTGCCCTGCAGCAATTCACCAGCTCTCATTCCGACGAACGGAATCCGAAATGGGATGATAGCACATCCGACTATGTGCTTCTACTGTTTCGACGTTCTGTACTGCCATTTACACAGTCTGGAACCACCCAAATCTCCAGACTTTTGCAACGACCCTTAGTGAGTATTAATTTTTTTTCTCTATTATTTCATGTAGTACGAATAATTACAATACGACCTGTAATGGTTAATTATCGCTTCGATTCAATTGTACGTCTACAGTGATAGTGGTTATCCACTAATCATAAATATCAACCTGATTTTCCTGAAAAAACAAATAATTAGTTTTATTATCGTGTAAGAGGGAGGGAGATAAATATATACAAAGCTTTTCTTTAACTCATATCATCTTTACATTTAACAGTCATTATGATTTTCATTGTTAACATTTACTATTTTTGATTTTCATATTCATTTTTTCAAATATTTGTGTAAAGCCAAGATGACTTGGCATATGTGGTAAGATTATACAATGAACCAAATCGTCCAAAAAGTCCTGTCGTTTTTTTTTCATAAATAAAAAAATATATAAAAAACAATGTTAATTTTGGCTTGAGTACCTCTGCGAAGCATGGACAAAAACCCTCTTTTGAACAAAAAAAATCCTTATTTTAGAAAGTAATAAAAATTCACTAGTTTTCGTGGTCTGCTTGACCGAATAATATTTTAAAATTAATTAATCTGTATTTAAGGTATTGCTTGAGATAAAAAAGTCATCTTCACAAGCGGGAATCGAACCCACGACCTAAATACGCTGCTGCTCTACCACTTGAGCTATCGTGACTTCGATCCACTCGGACACTAACTTCCCATCTCAACCTCACCTTTTGACTTTTTTATCTCAACCAATACCTTAAATACAGATTAATTAATTGAAAGTAATAAAAATACTCAAACAATTCGAGACTGTCGGTTTTCAAGATACTTCTTAAGGTCCGTCATACATGCTCAGTTTATCTATCAATTGAGGAATCTAGATCGGAAGAGTAAACTGAGCAGGTGTAACAACATTGCAGTTTTTCTTTTTCCTTCGCTTTATGCGTCAGAAAAAGGTTGTGAAAAGAAAAGGACAAAGAAGAAAATTAGACTATGTACTGAGGAATGATTGAACAGTAACATATCTAGCTAACTGAACCCTCTAAAATAATTTATTTTTTAATATTTATTTGAATCCTTTATATGAATTATACACATTACAAATTATTCTTAATGCTATCAAATCCCTGGCGAAATGTTATGACCATTACTGCACCCAAAGGACGTGTTATGAGAAGCATGACAATGCCGGCATTTAGTTTGTTATCGGTTGAAAGGGGATGAGGTCATGAGGCATCTCCAGGAGTGTTCTTGGGATGGGAAGTAGTGGATTGGGCTTGAGCAGTAGGGTTAAGATGGGTTGATATATTGGGGTGAAACTTGAGGAAGCTGGAACTGATCAATTCTTTACGAGGCCATTGTGGATAGTGAGATTGGAGATGTTAGGAGTTTGTAGAATTCTTCTGAGGGCTTTTGGTTGGATTCGTTGGATGTTAGATGGTATATGGTTTCGTATGTCCTAATAGGACAAATTTATTGTACAGAGTTAGTTTGTTCTTTACTGTCATGTCTGATTTTTGTCTCTTTGTAATTAGTTCAAATCATTTATTTAATCTTTGTTGCTTGATTCATGTGTGAGCATTTCACATCACTCTGCTGTCCAAGTGTAGCCCTAAGTCTTTTACGTGTGTAGATGTCTGTAATTGTAATAATTAACGCAAACGTAATTTGCGTGCATTTGTCCTTGTTCAGTTTCTTCTTCCACGTTTCGCACCATTCTTCAATGAGCTCAAGATGCTCCGGGATATTGGTGGTGGCTTGTTGGGTAGAATTGGAATTATGAATTAAAATGTCGGTATCGCTGTAGGTTATAAGGATGGTGTTGGGATCTGTCAGCAGTATAAATAGAATACAGAATGCTCCCTTGTGGGATACCGGCCTGGATCGATTTAACTCATTGCCGCAGTTTACTCTGAAGCAACGATAGGTAGAATTTTAGGATTTGGTAATAAAGGAGTGCGTATGAACTTGAAAGGAACTCCAGGTGGTCAGACCCTTTCCAAAGTTTGGGACATGTCTAAAAACGAACCCAAACAGTATTTTAATTTTTTTTTTTATTAATTTATTTTTTATTTTATTTTACTTTTTTTATGAGGGTTCACAACAGCAGAGGTCGTATAAACCTTCAGGGTGTCGATGTTTTTGAATAAAAGCCCATTTGTAAGTATGTCGGGTTGGAATGCAGGGCCGCTGGATTCAAACCCGGGACATATTACCTTACAGTGATGAGCGCCTTGATAACACCTAAACCGTTGCAGCCACTGATGCCCCCCCAAACAACTTTTACTTACTAATCACCACACACTTATAGAAGAATTGTACAGGACAAAAGTCTTGTTTCGATAAATGAAAATAGGCAAATAAATAGAAATGGTGAATGGTGGAGTGAGTGTGGTGTTCAATCCTTTTTTAAAAAAGATAGTTCTTATTCACATTAAGATTCTTAGTCACATTAAGTGAGTAAGAACTATCTTTTTTAAAAAAAAGGATTGAAAATGTAGGCTTTTAGTTTAACTTCATCGTTCATGAAATTTTCCATGTACTGAACATTTACTTGAACTGACAGTTGACTGGATAAAAATACAGTTATTTTATGTTGTTTTTCTTTTTACTTCTTCTTCTCTTTTTGTTATAGATGTAGGATTGTTTCTTTTCTCTTGTAGTTTATGCAATGTATTCTATTAAATTTTTACCAAAGCTCAAAACAGCTGCTCAAGAGTAAACTCTACCTGATGAAGGGGACTAACAGAGCCTCGAAATGCATTCATCCTTTTATAAATAAATAATTTTGATGTAATATAAATAGCATAAAATGCGAGACGAATAAAAACCACCCTAAACTACAGTTACTTAAGTCAATCATTCAGATGTCACACAGAAAATTGACAGATAAACTGACAGTGTGTTGGGCCCTTGAGGCTATTAGTGGAAACTAGGAAATGGTGGTAATCTGTCAATGACATTTTTAAACAGAATGTCGGATGTGGCAAAGTTTCCCATCTCTTATCATTTTAATTTTATCTCCATAATAGGCCTTTTCAAATAACTGAGTCGTGATCAAAATTTTTAAGCTTTGAGATAATGGTTTGACCTGGAGGTACAAGCTTGTAGAACATGATACTTTTGGCCATCCAGAAAAACTTTTTTCTGATACTGATCAGGTTTACAAAATTTCCTAGCTTTTTCAACAGGGGAAAACCCCGAGACCCTTTTTTAGTGCAGATATTTCTATTCATAAATGTTCTATTTTTGATCGTAGAACTATGCTATAGGCTAGAGATAAAAGAACAAGCTTATTGGCGTCAGTTGAATTGTGCGGTACCTATTTTTCAGCTGATATTTTACTTTTAACATTTGATACAGGTAACTCCAGGCGTTTGATTTGGGGATAATGAATTTGGAAGCTCTGAGCAGGTTTCACGGGGATCCAACTCCATTAAATCTCTCAGTTGCTGCTCGTCGATAATCTTTGGTCTTCCTGAACCATCCTTGTGCATCTTCACCGAACACCGAGCATATCAAGCAGCCTCAGTCGTTTTTAAACCGAGTTTGTACTCATCTAGACAGATTTGGGATTCAACTCTAACCATTTTGTATTTAACTGTTTGGGCGCTTAACTAAGACAGGATTAGAGTTATGTGATATATTTATAAAGAGTAATTAAGTCATTGGTGTTTGACCTAGGAAAGATCGCATTACAATCAATCCAATAATAAACAGACTGAAGCCCAAAGGAACAAGATGCGATTGTAAAAAACAACAGGACTTTTTGGAAGACCTGTTACCTGATTTTCCTTTTTGTCATATATACACATTTTCATTTGGATTTGTTAAAAACTAAAAATATATATCATTAACAACAAAATGAGAATTACTTGCATGTTCTTGGGAATAAATGACAAAATTTCCACAGTCCACTGTTTGTAACTTGGGAAATCGGTAGAGATAGAAGGTTGAGAGGTTGCATTGGTACTTTTAATGCCATCAATCTTCATAGCGGTATTCGAGAGTATGCAGTGACAAGGTAAGTCCTTTTTTAATTATAAAATTCCATTATTGTGTATGTATTAATGAGTGTATTTTAGCGCTGTAAAAGATTCTCGATTCAGTCCTATATCCAGGGATGAGCTGACAAAACTTCATGTGTCTGTTTCCATACTTCGACATTTCGAGGATGGAACGGACTACACAGATTGGGAGGTCGGAGTCCATGGAATCAGAATAGAATTTCACAATGAAAAAGGCAATAAAAGGACTGCAACGTATCTCCCAGAAGTGGCCACCGAACAAGGTCTATATATAAGTTTAAAAGAATCTATAAAACCGTTGAATTCAATATTTTCAAAAAAATTTAGGTTGGGACCAACTCCAGACGATTGATTCTCTACTCCGTAAAGGCGGATTTAAAGGAGTAGTGACACCCGACATTCGACGAGGGATAAAGCTGACGCGTTATCAATCCGAAAAGGTCTCAGTCGGATATCAAGAATACCTCAGGTCTTGGAGAGCCGGTAGGCGGTGCTAGCGTGGGCAGGGGGGCAACGTCCCCCCAGTCTACCATCGCCTCCACACTACTCCACCACAGTATAGAAGGAGGCAATGACTTATGGTTCTTTGGCTACTTGGAGTCTTACTCGCACTTCATTTAACATATTTCATACAAGATTCGTTTTAATTTTACTTACACATACACATACATACGTGTATATATTTGTTTTATCAATTTTATTGTTGTTTTTTTTTACATGTGACGAGTAGACGTAGCCAAAGTGGCCAAGAATATATTTTTTTGAAATTAGTAATGTTAAAACAAATCATTGCTCATGATGCAAAAGGATAGCTATAAGTACTTAAACTTTTTGTTTCCTTGTTGATCAAAATTTTGATTTTGTCATATTATTGTTGTTATTTTTAATGAGGTTTTTACTGGCTTAATGATTTTTTTAAAGAAATTAATTATTATAAAAAAAATAGTAAAACATCGAAATTACAAAAAAAAAAATAATATTTTTAAACATATTAAAAGAAAACCTAAAAAAAGCAGTATATGTAAATTGATGAGAAACCTTGTGTCTCTTAAAAGGTGTGCTCAAAAGAAAAAAAAAATAAATACAACACAAATATTCAATAATAATTAGATGTCGTCAGCATAATAATGTTTTTAACAAACACAGAATATATAAAATAAATGTGGTAAAAATAAAAAAATTCCACGCTCTAAATACATCTATAAGCATTTGTGTGATACGAACTCTTTTTATTCATCCAAATGTGTTCACCATCCTACAAGCCAAAAATATGTTGTAGAAAGAAAAAAGAAACATTTGTTTTTTTTAAGATCTCATTTTAAAAAAGGAGTTAAAACAAAAGAGAATATATTGTCTTAAATCATCTTTCATTATTTATATTAACTTTCGAGGATTTGCTTCTTTTGTAATCATGTTGCTCTAACCATGCACAGAGCAAACGTTTCCCATTTCCATTTGAACAGCAAGCGTTTGTTTACATTATTCTCTGAAAGTTAATATATATATATTTATTTCCACAAAAAAAAAGTCCATATTATTGAACCTAAATTTTTCATTTAAAGAGATGACGACAATATACCCTTTTTCATATGAAACTAATTAAGTTAAGACAATTTAAGGTATATTTGTTTTTATTTATTTAATTTTTTTCTACCAAATAACTGCACATTTGTATCTTGCGGTACAAAATGTTGAAAATGTAAGCCACTCAGCAAAGGATGCTTTAGTCATTAAATAGACAAAAATTATAATATGGAATGCAAGTTTAATGTTTCACTGTTTTCATTCATAGGATATTGAGTTCAGTTATTTTTCAAAACTAATCTGATTACATCACATAATAGCCTGTAAATGATATAAAATATATTCCATAACGTTTGTGTGTAAGGCATGTTTTATTTAGGTATATTGGGTGGTTAGTATATATAAATTAATATTTATCTTTTTATAATTGGTAAGTCATAATTAATATAGTGGTTAAGTTTTTGTTAAAGTCCAGGTTGCACAGGTTATATTCTTTATGTTAAATCTAAAGCTGTAAACTTTAATGGTGTATTATTCCTACTCGAAACTTCATTTACTTAGTTTATATTAATCTGTAATCAATAACTATTTGCTAAAAATTACAATTTGAAAATTTTTAATCAACCTTAAGCTATTGTAATAAAAATTCCACAAACCGATTCCAAGTATTCTTAAGTCAATAGTTGGGTCTTGGTTATTTGGGTACATTTACATTTGAATTTGTTATTATCTACCAGTTCAAATCTCTGTTTAAATTGAAGCGAAGGCAGAGATGGTAATTTTTGATCATCAAACATTAAAAAAAAAATGATAGGATAATAAACAAAATTAAGCCACTGTATCACTTATTAATAACAATTACTAATTAGCATTTTGTATACTCGATTAAATAATAATTTTGCTAAGTTAAATAGAATAATTTCAGAAGATAAATAGTGTCTTTATCAGGCAAAAGAAATATTTTGTGGTCTGTGATAACAATCAAATAAATCATAAACAAGTTGAATTGTTTATGATTAACATTGTGATATAATCAGTCAATGCAAATGTGAGAAAAACTGAGGAGGCCACAACTGACTTGAAACACCCCACATTTGATACTTAAAAAACTACATAAACCTCAATTAAACTTTTTAAATGACTCAGCAAAATTTTAAAAGCCTTGTTAGAAAATTGGTCATAATAAAAATAAAATATTGATAGTAAAAAGGTTAAGAACAAGAAAAACATTTTTAATATACAAATAAAAATTAAAAATTATTGAGTGATAGTTTTTTATACTAGCTGTATAGTGCAATAATAATTATTATTGTAAATATATTCATTATATACTATGTATATATTATATCAAAGTTGTTTACAAATGTATGAGTGAATAGGAAGGCAGCTATTAAAACTAAATTCCATCCATGATGTAAAAGTCAATGTGTAACGTAGCCCGGCTTGTCGTCAGGCGAATGTTTAAATTATTGAATTTGACGGGGTTTCGTACATTGCCTATATCAATAACTATGCTATTCACTGCCAATTTTCGTTATAAATCTACTACATAATGTTTACGAAAAATTCCCAATATAGGTGGTCAAACGAGATTTTGTTGTCATAACTAATTGGAAGTATTTCAATTTTAAATTCAAACTTTTAAATCAGCTACTTGGATTGCTTGAATGTAAAATTAGGCCTTGCTTAAATTGAAACGTCTTGGCCTTCCTTGTAATTTAATATATCTAAAAACAAAATTGTACAATAAATTTGATTATAAGCGGGGGCGTTGTGTATGTCTAAATCCTAATCATGCCTTTCTAGGAACAAATATGTTCAACAATTCAATATTATTTGTAAAAATTATATTTAAAAAATAGAAAAACATGTTGCTTGACAGTAGGTGAATTTCTTGCCTTTCGATAATTGTGAGATTTTTTGTAGGTATGCAGGATGAACTTGTAGTTGGACATTTCTGATCATTTTGGTCTGCCTAACTTCACTTATTTGAATCTGTCAGACATATTTCGGGTTCTCACCATAAGTGGCCGGTCTGTGCTTTATTAATTTCATGCTCATATCACTATTAATATCGCCAACAAACATTTTAAGACAATTTCTCCCCAGAACTGAAGAAGCTGTTAACTATCTTCAGCCGAAGAATGTCCAAAAGGCCGAAACAGCAAGGGAAGTCAGGCCAAACTGCAAATTTTGGTAATTGTTACTTCCTAAACACTCCTAACCTTAATTATTCAATTTATAAATTACATTAATTAGTAATTTAATTAATTATGGTATAAATCATTTTCCAACTTTCTAGATGTAATGTATACATTTTTCAACCAAGCACAATTAAAATTGCAATTGTGGTCATTAGAATTCAATTTTTTTTAAAAATTGTAAAAATTGTATGCATTAAAGATATATGATCATTAAGTAGGAAAAACGACTATGGTTAGGGGTTTCTGTTAAATCATTTGTAAATCAATCATTAAATCATTTTAATCTGCTTATCAGTGGTTTGGTCTGTCAAACAACTTTTTGCATTTCGCCATCTTCAGTGCTGGGTTTGATTTTTCTTTGTTTGTCTGCCTTTCCTTGTTGTTCGGCCTGACAGTGACATTTGGCTATTCACCAAATACAAAAGGAAAGAACAAAAAAATTATAATAGGCGTATAAAATGATCAGAAATGATCAATCTTACAAGTACATCACCACACAGTTATCAAGATCTTACAAAGTCACAGTAGTAGTCTTGACAATTAATATTTTTACTTGCTAAGTGTATATTAATTCATTACTTTCTCAAATATTATATCAGTAGTTATGCTTACAAACTTTTAAAAATAATATTTATGCAGAATCCCATAATTTGAATCTTATTAAACATATGAGTGATAATAGACAAAATACCTAAATTAAGTTTTTATTTATTTTTTATATGCAATAAACAATTCCAACTATTTCTAAATTGCACCCAAAAGTTCGTTAAAGTTAATATACATAACAACTACAAAGCTAAGAAAGCATGTTTTGTTTGTTTTACATAATTTTCCGTAAAACAGCAAACTTCCAAGAAATCTTTTTAATATTGGAAAGTATCAAAGCCTAAGACCAAATGTTGAGATAAATATTGATTTTTCCGGGTGAAAAGTTCAGAGAAGAAACTGTTGTACACGTGTACGAATAATTAATTAAGTAATGCTAAGGTCGCGTGCAACTTTGGGGGTTGAGAGAAGGCCGAAAGAATCCACCATATAGGTCATTGGGATTCAGCATCGACTTTATTTTTGTCGGTGACTCTCATTGCCAGTCCGACCTCTGAACAGCAAACAACGGATTAAACAAGTAAGACAGGCTTTTTTACAATATCTCCTGCAATCACATCATAATAATTCAGCAAAAAATAGTTAATTAGCTACAGCCTTGTAATATAAACAACACTAATTATTGTTCAATGGGTATTTTATATTTTTTTTAAATTGATTTTTGTTAACTTTTATATTTCGTTTCGTTTAATTAAGTAAAAGTTCTGATGATCCTGGTCCGTCTATGAAAGCAGTGTCGGCAAAACACCCGCAATGTACTTAAGATGTTCGACGAACGAGACTAGGCGGTGCAGGATTTGATCAGAAACGGTCAATTATTTTAAGACACTCCTTAAGTTGCTCACTTTAATACAAAAAAAAGTTTGATTCCATTTCGCAATTTAAGTTTATTAAAAAAAACGTAAAAAATAATTTGTCCTTAGTTCCTTTGCTAACTTGTCTCCTTGCTTTAGGACTTTTGCCTCGCACTTACCGGAAGCGGAGTGACTTAAGATCATTAAAAAGTAAACCCATTATAATAAAAATCGTTTTGATAAATTTATCCTTAGGGTGTCTCATTTGTTGTATATTGTCAGAGATGCCGAAAGTGCCGAGTGAAAAAAGGAAGGAAAAAAACAACTGGGGAAATGGAAAGCTGTTCGGCGCGGAAAAAGACGAAAACTCTTTTAGCGGCGGTGGTTTTAAGGACAAAGAAAAGGCCCAAGAAACTATTAGGTAAGTACAAAACGGCGTTGAATAACTAAAAAAAATAATGTAGAGATTTGAGTTTTGGTGTCTGAACCTCGGGGAAGGTCAGCGCCCACTGGGGCAACTGGGTCAAGGGAAATATGTATTGCGCCTTCGACATGTATATATTACGATTATACTCTTTTCGTCTTAACATCTAAAGTTAACTGTCGATTCGTCAATATTCACAAATGTATGCACATATCGAAAATAACAAGGTCAAAGAATTGAGGACTTAGAAATGCATGTCTTCCAAAATTCTTTGGTTTCAGGAGTGGAATTGTTGGATGAAGAAGGTAGGTGATTGGCACAGTTTTAGGCTATGTAGAGGAATGGAGCAAAAATGGATTGCATCTTAAGGATAAAATGATAATTTTTTAACCAAAATAACCGAGAAGAAAGGCGCAAGGTCAGTATCATATATAGGCAACTGAGACTGGATGATATGAATTTGGGGGTAAATACCGATGATTTGGGTGTAATAATTAAAATTTAAATAGGAATTATTAAATCTATATAAACCCCACTTCTCGTGAAAAATTAACTTCGCTCCTTATGCAATAGGAAAGAAAATGAAGATACATTCCACTTTTTGGATAATTGTCCAATATTAAAGAACATAAGGAAAAGTTCACTATTTTTCGTGGTTCGCTTGACCAATTAGTATCATACAATTAATTAAGGTTTTAAGTTGAGATAAAAAAGTCAGTGTCACGAGCGGGATACGAACCCACGACCTTCGGCTTGATACGCCGCTGCTCTACCACTTGAGCTTCGATCCCCTCGGGCACTAACTTCCCATCTCAACCGCTCGTGACACTGACTTTTTTATCTCAACTTAAAACCTTAATTAATAAGGAAAAGTTTTTTTGCTCCGAACACATATCGGATGTAGCCATAGTTAATCTTCTAAATAGAATCCATTCCCTTATTTTAATTAATTATGTAAAGGAAGCTACACTTTACGGGATTTTTAAGTTAAAAATTTTAATTATTAATCATGTAATTTTATTTATTTTTCTTTTATTCTTTCGTATTAGTATATTTTATGTGTAGTATTTAGTGACCGTTAATTAACTTCAAGGCTTGGGATTTACAAACAATTGTGTTTCTATCTGTATATGTAATCTAAACAATGTTTGTAAATCCCAGGCCCTGAAGATGATCTCAATAAAGGTCGAAACGTTGGCACGATAAAGAAAATGTTTTTGAAAAACCTACGTCACACCACACCACATCTCACGATTTCCGAATAATCATCGACTAACGGTCACTAATCACCACACATTACTATAATTATTTTTGTGCTCTATTCAGTTTCTTCTTTCTTCAAATGGATGTGAACTCCTGATAGACGGTCTCAGCTATTGTCATTTTTGATACTTTTTTATTATTTATTTTATTATTACTTTTGTATTTTTTTATAAAATTGTAAATAAAAGTTTCTATTATGCATGTCTTCTAAAACATTATTCATCTATATTATGTGTTACTACTAACTTATTGCGTTTTTATCATTAAATTTTGTAACTTATGTTCGTATGAAAACTTTGAGGGCATTGTTTGATGTTATAGGTTGCTGGAGGGAAGAGATCCGGTGTACCAGTACCAAGTCATCAACTCCATGTACAACAGAGCCAAGGTGATATTCAAAAGGACGACCGATCAGGAGAAGAGGAAGAATTTGAGCGAAGCCGTCGAGACCTTGGAGGCTTGGGTAGACGATTACAAAGCTCATTCGAGGTCGAAAGAGAACTACAACTACTTGAATCTTGAAATCGTCGAGATGTGTAAGCCGCTGGCGGAAAGGTACGGCTTCACGGATTTCGACTTTTTGAAATGTTACCAAGACGCCGAAGGCGACTTGAAAAAGTTGAGGGTCAAGAAAGTTCCCGGGAAAAGCATCACTTGGGATGTCGAAAGGAACAATAGGTTGAAAAATATTTCAAAGGACATGAACGACAATCATCTGCCTCTGTACGAAACGAGCGAACCACTCAGAGGGCTTCCAACGAAAGAACATACCGAGATGATAATGCTGGGATACAGCAGCGATCAAAGCAAATTGAAGAAATGCCTACCATTACTTAAAGAAAAACTGCAATAATTGTTTTTGTTACTCTTTTTATTATAATGATTATTTATTGCCTAATAAAAAACACAATTAAGAGAGCAAACACTATGTACACTATTAGGCAAAAATTAAAACTTTATTTTACTATCAACAAAATTTAAGACCTCAAAGAAGTTTTCATTAACTATGACCCTAAACCATTATTTTTCTATTTCTACTTACATCCTGTCTTGTTATATATTTTGTTTATACCTACTGAAATATTAAATGCTGCGCTGTCATTTCTCTTTACCTTTTGCCAATTGTTCTCTTCCTCAGCATTTATGGCTTTTTGCGTCATACAGTGAAACAACGTATCTGGCGGGACAAAGAGATAGATGAAACAGAAATGCAATTTCTATCGTAAAACCACCTGTATTTTGTTGTAAAAGCTTTGGGCGAGTAACCACGTATTTCGCCAAATAAATGACCTACTGTATATCTGCCAGTACTATCAACGCTTCTTTTACTCTTTTAACTAACCTTTCGGTGAAAAAAAATCTTCGATATTACTTCACTTGTCAAGTACTCCACGATTCGCCGCTTTGCTCCAAGACTTAGAATTATATAAACATAACATAAATACATAAATTAACAATAACTCACAAACATCACTTATACCATTTAAAATATTACTCACATTAAAAATGAAAAGGACCGAGCAGAAAAATTAAAAAAACCCGACCTATCAAGGTGGATTCCCGGACATGAAGGCACAGAAAGAAATGAACAGGCAGCCCTCTCACCCATGGGACCAGAACCACATCTAATGCACCGGAGTGTGGGCCTAAGTTGGAACTGGAAAAAAGACTTAAGAAAGAAAAACTCAAACACTGGAAAAAAGCATCAGGGAAGTTACGCTAAGAGATTTATAAATCTCTCAAAAAGGAAGGCGAAAAGGAACTCTCTCTCTCTCTCTCTCTCTCTCTCTCTCTCTCTCTCTCTCTCTTTCTTTCTCTCTCTCGCTCAGCAGGCAGGATTTGAGAAAAATTATTGGCCTTTATACCAGCCTCTGCCCTCGTAATCAACANGCGAAAAGGAACTCTCTCTCTCTCTCTCTCTCTCCCTCTCTCTCTCTCTCTCTCTCTTTCTTTCTCTCTCTCGCTCAGCAGGCAGGATTTGAGAAAAATTATTGGCCTTTATACCAGCCTCTGCCCTCGTAACTAACATCGAAAGAAGATGGGCACAGCAGAGACAAAAAGAGCTGACTCTGTCAGGAGGGACCAGAGACAGTGTGAAGCATTAGCCACATCGAGAAGATACTTCTCACCCCAAAAGAAGTCAGCGAAGAGGCACCAAGGAAAGTTCCTTAGTCTTAAAGGAAAAAGTGTACTTTCCAAAGTACACACCGACAAATAAGACTTAAACCTAGACAGCTCCCACACCATCCACGAGAATAATAGTGTCCATCATGGTGACCAATGCATTGGTGTGTCATGGCCCAAAACGTAAAAATAAGGGACAAAAATAGTTATATGTCTTGTAAGAAACATTGTAAACATTTTCAAAACAGAGTAGTTTAAAGTAAACTGCTGGGTCCAGGTCAAAAGGTTGGCGACATGCCGCCAAAAAATAGATGTGCGAATACAATATAATTCTGTTTTTGACATGTTAGAACTAGATAGAAATATTTAATTGTGCTCGGTGATCAACAACTTCGATTAAAAAGCACCTCCTTCCTCCAAAGGTCTGCCATAACCTAACAAATGGCTGAAGTCGACATGTCGTCGTATCCGTCGACTCAAGGTTTCAAGAACTAAGAAATAATTCGCAGTAGACAGAGAGAAGACTGCAGTATCAGCAGCGGTGAGTCTGCTTCAAAAGTACAAAGTAAACTTGATTTTTGGAGTCAACATAAAAATTAGGTAAACGTACAAAAGAAAATGTGTGTGAGCAGGAAAGATGGAAGTCCTTCGGCCTTTTAACATATTCTCCTTCACAAAAGATCGTATTTGAATTTTTTTTTCAAATCCTCACTACAGTGTGATGATGATGAAGTTGATCGTGATGATAATGGAATATTAGGAAGCAGGGGTTTTGTATTCTATAAGCGTTCTGGTTTATACTCACAACAGGGCATCGATCATTTTGTTTCGATAAACAATCTTTGGATACTAATATACTATATAAAACCATTATCCAGTTAATCAAGAAGAATTAATAAATCTAAGTCCATTATAAAATTTTGCACTTTTCTTCGACTTTTTTGCTATTCCCCTAAATTCGCAGTGTGTTTTAACTTACGCCATCATCACTGGTATGTATCAGAATGATCGAAACGGCCAAGCTGTTGGTTCATCACCCCGCAGATTACAATAGGAAATCTCACTAAAATGACGGATTTAGATCCTAGATTCCATGCCTGCTGTCTAGGTATAGTCAAGAAGTATGTTCCTGGCTTGAACTATCGGTAGCTCCTTTATTGTTGATTCCTTGTGAGTTGGGAGAGCTGTAGTTTGGTCGTGGTCGGGTCTGTTCCAGCACTGAATATGAATTAAAGTGAAACATCGTGGATTACAAATGTTACTAGAAAATACTATGGAATTAAAACAATGGTTATTTTAATATGTAGTTTGATCGTTAGCGATCAACTTGGTCAGCTTATCCTCGCTTGGTTGGTCTGTCATACGCTTTTGCCACCTTAAGTGGTGGTGATATCTTGGTGGTTGATCAGGGTAGGGGAGAGGTAAAAACCCAACGATGTAGACGACGAAATGCCGATCGTGTCTGACAGACCAAACCCCAAAAATCCCCTTTGGAAGAACTCAAAAGAAGATATGAACCACCCTTGTTGGAAAAAAGAACTGGGAAGACTAAGGGTCGAAACCAGAAGAGCATTTAACAAAGGAAAAGCATCAAAAAAGTGGGGTGAGTATAAGAGGCTTCTCATCTCAATCATACCATCCGCAGGACAAAGTGAGAAAGCTTTTGCAAGTTCTGAGGAGAAATTTCCTCAGTCTGAACAGGAGCTAAACTACATAAACCACTAACTAGCAAAGGACAGAGTAGATATAAACACTGACCTGAAGAAAGCAGGCAGTAACTAAACAGAAGATGCAAAGCAAAAAACGGTGCTACTTCGTTAGCGACTATTTCTCATGCTCATCACTCCCCAGACCACATGGAGATATCTCACAACGAATGTGTTCAATCCTCAAAAATGGGTCTTAGGCGAAAGCTTTTTCTCAGAAATAAATTGGCATTAAAAAGGCTTGAGAATTGCTATTTTTGGGGACTGCATTGAAGGGAAGGAGATTTTGTTTATTCTGAGATGATCGTTTTTTTATTGACATTAATCATTATTGTGTAAATAAATAACTTTTTTTGGCATTTTCATGCCACTCCTATTCCTGCACTATGAATTTTTGAATGTTTAGGTACTTAAAATTTAGTTTGGTTTATGTACTTAATAGGTAATATTGGAGATGTTAAAGTCGTATAGACCCCGTGGTTTCGATTCCTACCGTCGCTCCTGGAATTTCTGACCATGACCCTCCCCGAGTAGTAAAATGCGTTCCCAAATTAGCACAAGAGGGTTTATGACCAATTACCCGTTGTTCCTGTTAATTTTCCTTTTTGTACAATACAGTGGATTTAACTTTTTTTTAAATCCTTGGTAGAATCGATACTTTTAAAGTACACAAAGTATGCCTTCTTTTCGATACTAAGTAGGGCATGGAGACTTTTCTTTAGCACTAGAAGGCGCTTCATCGTGGAGTAAGGTGGGTCTCATGCGAGCCAAAATTTAAATACTTTAAATTTAAAGGGTATTCATGACTTCTACCAATTTATTGACGATTCAGTGACCAGTGATCCTTGCGTTGTCTTTGTATGAATCACATTTTAGGATATATTATGAGTTATTATGAAGGTTGACATTTTTTTTTAAGTACCAGCACATGATTTGGTACATTTTTACATTTTCACCTAAGAAACTTGTTTGATCTAGTATTTTATCTAACATTTTAAGATTTTGGAGATATAAGGGAATAGAAAAATGTACACCTTTTTTGAAATGTTATTGCTTGTAGTTTTTGACGTTTTTATAGAAAACGTTTGAAACAATTTTGTGCATGTTCACTTGTTTTAATCTCTCGTGTGTTAATTCATTATAATTCGAGGAACGCCTGTTCTAAGTTCATACTGTATGTGTATGTAAGTATTTTGTCCTGTTCAACTAAATGTTGGTGCTTGAATTTTTGTACACGCCTCATGTTTCGCAATTTTAAATTTATCAAGAATAAATAAATCTATGAAACTTTATATTAATCCAATTGTGTGATCAAATCTGTTTTTAATTGACAGTATAAATTCGTTAAACCATGTTTTACGGACATTGTAAATCACTGCTGACGATTTTGTTTAATTTACAAATTTCGGGAAGATTTTGATATGCGTCATTCTAGTGTTGATTTCGAATATTTGTATCTCACACTTGTTGATACCATGTATCATATCATTCGTGATAGTCGTGTCGCTTCCCGTTCAAACATTTTTCGATGTTAAACCCAGAGTCAACAAACCCTTTACTCGCTTATCATTGGCGAATTAAAAAAAATTGTATAAATCAATCCTTTGGGGGAAATGGGGTGTCGATGTAGTATTACGGAGGATATGAATTTGAAAACAGTGTAACTGGTGCTGAGGCTGCGCGGATCGATATGAGTAGGATTGTACCTCAGTCTGAACCGGGTATGCATCATGTGACCTTCATATTGCCAACCAGGTAAACCTCTTCTTCCCATTCGATGCCAGATGAGATCGTGCGCCCAACCACGCCCATTTTTGAACTTAAATTTCAACCCTATGTACACTGCTACTTCGGACGCGTTCAGATTCTGACCAGTTCGACCAAAAGAAAATAAACAAAGCGCTAGTGGGTCCATGACTTGCCTATCTTGTCACCTTGTTTTTTCAACAATCTAAAAATTAAATCTAGACAATAAAGTCAATAAAACACTTTAATCAACTTTAAATGTAAACAATTACATTTTTTTTCTTTTTTCCTTAGCTTACTGAACCACTGATTTACTTGAGAATACTAACGATAGATCAAATAATCAATCAAGCTTGAAGTCAGACCATAAATTGAAGTATTTTTGCAATTTTTTTCGGACAATCAAAAATCTTCAATCAGCGTTGAATAAAGCCGTTGATATTATGATCATAATAACTTCCATAATTTGATTGTTTCCGATCATCCTTCACATTCCTATTATCGTTGTATCCGTCTGTCAGTCCTTTTTCCTCATTTCACCATTTCCTCCTATAACTTTGTATTTCCATTTTCCGTAATTTTAGTACTTCACGCCAATTCAAAGTTGTACGCATTGTCGTAGTCGTGGCGGTTTTTGTGTTGAACGAGTTGCATGACAATTGACACGATTAAGGGGGTGGCAGGAGAATGTAAACAAAAGCTTTAGGCTAACTTCTAAGTGGTATTCTGTAAACAGGAACGATATTTTTAAATTATTGCTTATTTCAAATGAATAAATAAAAATTAAACATTGTCGTTTTGGAGTTGAGTTGTACAAATGACGTATAAGAGGGACAATATGTCGGGTGGTGAAGGATTGTACTGAAAATCCTTCTGACAAAAGATTTACTACAAATGGGGGTAATCGAAGGTGAACATATACAAATATTTTGTTTTATACTCATTCTCACTCAAACTTCAGGTCAATTAACAAAAACTCATGTAAAGAAAGTCATGTCAGTAGCTGTATGCGTTATCATCATTATACGACTAAATATTGCAGTCTTTTGTGAGGTGATTAGTGACCGTTAATCGATAATTATTCAGAAATCGTGAGATGCGGTCTGGTGTGATGTAGGTTTTAGAAAAACATTTATCGTGCCAACGTTTCGATCTTTATTGAGATCATCTTCAGGGCCTGGGATTACAAACATTGTTTACATTTAACAAATACATTTAGGATGTGGAAAAGTGAATTTATACAATGCAAAATATATTTTTTATATTCAATCAAAGTATTTCTAGCACTCTCAACACGACACGCAAGAATGGCACAATTACACAGAAGACAAACACTTTGAGTGAGTAGAAATACTTTGATTGAATATAAAAAATATATTTTGCATTGTATAAATTCACTTTTCCACATCCTAAATGTATTTGTTAAATGGAAACAATGTTTGTAAATCCCAGGCTCTGAAGATGATCTCAATAAAGATCGAAACGTTGGCACGATAAAGAAAATGTTTTTCTGAAACCTACATCACACCAGACCGCATCTCACGATTTCTGAATAATTGCTGTCTTTTTTTTATTAAAGAGGACATTTAAAAGAAGCAGTTCAACATGCATGATGAAGATTACTTCGTTCTCAAAGGGAATTGCCCATCTTAGGAAGAAGTGGTGTTAAGGCAGAGGTCAACATGCAATGAGCGTCGTCCAGAAGGATGCAAATCAAACAGAAAACATGGTTGACCATATTCGCATATTTCACCATTCGTCTAGTTATATGTTGTAGTTTCGTCATTTCCGATCATCCTTGAACTACCAATCCGACTACAAAGTAAATTATACAAGCATTCAACACAAGGCAACTTACACACAAAGAAATGAACATCATTTATACTCCATACGAAACACTGCTGGACAGCATAAAAAGGAAACGTACCGAGATCGTGATAACCGACCGGAACAAACAAAGAAAAACCCAGATCTAATCCTATCAAAGACACCGTCAGACAGAGATAACACGGGCAAAACCCTTTTCTCTATTCACGAATGAGGGGGCAGATTTAAAAAAATAAGACAGAAAAATAACTGGAAATGACTGAAAAGTGAAACCCCTGTCTGGTCAAACAGGCTACAACTAGACCAGAACAAAATTTATCTCCCAAATTTAATAATATTGTTCCACTATTAAAAAATAAAAACAGTTATTTATTATTCCATTTTCTATATAGTGTCTATCAGCTCTGGCCGCCTTAATATGTTTACATGGCAATTTACTTAAAAGGAAAGAAGTCAAAGGAAACAACTTTACCCACTCCAGAATTGTGGTTGAATGTGGCTTTACTTGCCAGTTCAAAACTCCTCTATCCTCTTCTCCTTTATCACTCTACTTTATTTAATGTTTACCCAGCCAGCCCAATCAATTTTCATTATTATATTTACGCGCGTTAACATTTCGATATGTTTTGACGTTATGAACTGAAATCTGATCGCATACGAGGTTATAGATGGCATTCCTTTAGCCGCAATTGATTTTATAAACTTAATTTCTTGCAGTAAGTATAAAGAGGAATATATAAGAAATGGATATCAGAAATGAGATTACGTCAGTTGTTTGTTGACATTTTTTGATCAAAAACTTTCTTAAGTAACTTTGTTATACTAACGGCGATATCACAATCCCGTCACCTATCTCGAAACCTATCCAACCTCTAATGGCCAAGCACATTGAGCTTAATAATAGTGCACATACTGAAAAACGTAACTTAAGAGGAAAAAATGAACGCTACTATGGCTGGTTTGATTTAATCTGTCAGAGTCAATTTGACGTTAAGCCAACTCTAGGAACAAACTTGACCAAGAAAGAAAGTACACAAATCCAGATTCAACGCCTCGTATGCGACATGAAGAAATCAAACAATAAAGGGCTACCGACTTTTATAGATATAGACTATATGCTTACGATACGTACTATCTAGATACTTAAGATTATACCTAGGCAGGAAACATGGAATCACTCAGTTAAAACTTAAGAGGCAAGAACTAAAAGAAGATTTGGATAACTACAAAATCTTCTAGGGTATATATCTGTCATGTTTGGAAAATTAAAAAAAATAGCTTTGCACAAAACCTGATTTTGACCACTTTGGACATATGGGATCGTGGAGTTCCAACTGATCCAACATCCAACGCATTATATCCTTCAAATAAAAAATACTCTTGTAACGAAATGATACATTCCTTGATGAATTGTTTAAACTCTACTGCTAAACTTTACCCGCATACCTGAACATTGTTTTCGCGAATGACTTAAAGTTTTATTACAACCTATCAAACGACATTGGCTTCTGACCTCTTTGTCCCTTATTAAATGAGTGGATGCCAGCGTTCGCCGGTTTCTCACGTGTCCTTCAAAGGATCAAAATCTGTCATAACTTTATAATATTAACTAACTTTACTTAGACCTGTATGGGATTCCACTAAGCCATTCAGTTTTCAGCGCATCAAAAATCCTCAGACGAATTGTCCAAGCTCTACTGCTTACCGCACCATCCACAATGACCTAAATATTTCTTTCGCCAACGAAAAACCCTCACTTAAAAAGTTCTATTACGGCAATTCAATCGTTAGCTGGTTCACAACAAAGACCAAAAAAAACTTCTAGGTCCAAAATCTGTTATGATTGTAAAAAAAAGTACTTATGACAGGTCGAATACGTACTGTGGGATTCCCCCAATCCATGCAGTTCTTTCCGTCCAAAATGGTCATACGAAATGTTCAAGCACCTTAGACTTTCTACAATTCCTTTCGTCAAAAATTGATCCGCTTAGCTTCCTTAAGTATCAATTCCATCATTTTATTCATGCTAACCATAAAACTCAAATCTGCTTGAAATATTGTAGATGTGCTCGAGACCTTGGCGTTGGAAACGCGTTGGCTTCTTTCTTACATCATAAAACCAGTTATTACTAGTTTTCATTGGCTAAAGAGTTTCTGATGTTTCTGTCAGATAAGTATGGAGGTAGGGGAGGAGCCGCGGTACCATCAACGGGGCGGCCGACGGCTCATGGACCCAGCCTACACCCCGGACATCGGCCACCTCGTCCACCGAAGCGGCCCCGTCCAAGAGAGCAAGGCGGCTAAATCAGCCAGAGCACGTCTTGCCGAAGTGCTGAGCCTCACTAGGACGGCGAGCCGACTCCGCCAAGTCACACAAAGAAAGGTAAGAGTCCATTAGTAACTAAGGGTGATTAATGGAGGAAAACCATGAAGGAAATATATAAATGTTTACCATGCTTCTGTGTTATATGTGTTAGTAAGATTGTTCAAATTTACGTGAATGACATTGCTGACCTGATCCGGTTATTCATACTTTGCAGCCGTGTGTTCTGTATGCGTAAGATAAGTAAAAAAGCAGAATTGCTTGTTTACCTGTTTTAAAAGTGTCTTGTTGATCGTTTGATGAAATTGATTTTTATACTTCTTTGACCACCTTTTTGAACCTTGTTTTCTTAATCTAACTTGTTTCTGTTGTTTCTTCTTTCTTTTTCTTTTATAAACACTTCTATTATAACCAATTGTTACATAGCAAGTCAACTGGAGCTTGCGTAAGCTTGGGTTTTAATTATCTTCTATATCTATCTTATATTCTACTATATACTAGATTTATGATGTCTTGGTTGTGATGAAAAATTTAGTGTCACGAGCTGGATTCGAACCCACGACCTTCGGCTCAAGACGCCGGTGCTCTAATCACTTGAGGTATCGTGGCCTTGATCCACTCGTACACCAACTCGCCATCTCAACCTGCACCCTTTCGAATTTTTTCTCTTTTCTGCCATTTTTCAAATGTCGTGTAATCGTGATTCGATTCTCAGTGACTTATCAAGTGGCCAAGGGGAGCAGTTAATTATTATTAAATTTATGTTCAGTGTTCTAAAGGACCAAATTACTTATTTCAATTATTTTCTTCTCAACCAAGAACTGACATTACAAAATAATTAATTGAATGAAGTAATTTGGCCAATTATACCACTAAACATAATGGATTTAATTATGATAACAGTTACATTTAACTTTTTTTTCATTGCATACCCAAGTAAGGTAGGGGCGAGTGCTCTCTAATTTTTAAGATTTGCCAAAGTACCGGTAATATGTAATTTTTCTTAAATAAAATTGTTATGCATAGAGTAGCGTTTTTTCCTAGAGAAAAGTAATCTTTCAAAACTGAAATCTGACCGCCAGGAGGAAAAGTTATAGCCACTTTTAATGGCATTATTAAATGAAATGATCCTCGTAAGAGCTAATCTTCTTTCAAAGAGGATAATGTTTACCAGACGAATGTTTATTTTCTTTTGAACACTCGTTCACAGTCGCTGTTAATATATTTTAGAATGTAAAAACATTATATGTATAAAAAATAAAGAGAATATACTCTCCCGAAGAAAATCTCTATACATGTACATATGTATGTGTGTTTATTGTTTTAATGTTTCGTTCAAAATTTAAAATGGAAATGTTGCAAATTGACCATCCTCATTTTTCTACTAGGAAGAAATAGTGGTTGTTTGATCAAGATACCCAAGTTTCAATGTCGAAGAGTTAAAATCAAAATTAATTACAAACCGTTCAGGTAGTGATTTTTTATTACAAATTATAAAAATGATCTTATTGGTCTTCACGTCGAAGGGTTGAAACTGCCCGATGTGATAACCCTAGGGTCTCTACCTCAGGGGAGTTGACCTACCACGTTATGCGGCTGAGTCGCTAGTATCTCCATTAAGCCAAGATGCCTAGGAGATCGTTGCTTCCCAACCCACTGGGTTAGCCTGCAACTGGAGTTTTCGACTAGGTCATTTCACTCCCCAACGCATGCAAACTATAATCTAACATATAACTAACTTATATAGTACAGTCGCACAAATAAATATATTCACACCTATTTCCATTGCAATCATTCTGATTGAAGTAATCGATATTCCTCCATCGACCTACACACAGTTAATAACTAATCACACTACATTTTACCCTCACAACAAACACCTCACACTAATAAATACCCGCACTCAATTAAAGCACACAAAACAGATCTATACACAATAAACAAACCCACATATTACAAAAAGCGGAACAGGGAAACCAGAAACTCGCTACATGTACGAGAATCATTCTTAAATTTGGCGGCACGCTCTCTGCAGAGAGCCAAGACATGACTTGCTTATATTATGTGGGATACATCGAGAACCTTTCTCTGCATAAGTGGCATCTGCGCGGGTGTTGGACCCTGTGTCAACCGCGTATGACCTATTCTTAATGAGTAAGGACGATTCCTCCGGCCCAGGTTCTCGTGGGCAACCTAGAGGTCGTGTTCTTGACACACAGGAACCCCTCTGCCATCTTTCTTTTATCATGTTATCATGTTCTTAAAAATGGTATTATAAGCGTAAATGTTAGTAATTTTTTATTGTATGCCAGATGCCACACCGTTAGAGCTGAGAAAAGAAGGCAAGGAAAGCCATTTAATTTTTTTTTAATGATTCTTGGCTTTTTTATGTTAAAATCTTGATACAAAAGCTTGCAAATCAAAAGAAGTATATAGAGGATTAAAAAAAACATTACCGAATGGTAATGATTTCTATTCATTAATGCTATTAAAAACTTTCCCCCCATTGGTCTGATATCAATTTGGAAAAATACGCTTTTTTTATCAGGTTGAAAAACGCATTCCAATTATTTAAAATGCTTTGTAGTAGTTTGCATTGTACAAAATAGTTCGCTATGAGGTGCAAAAAAAAACAATTGGGTGATTGTGGATTGTAAAAGGAGCAGAACACACACACACACACACACACACACACACACACACACACACACACACACACACACAAACACACACACACAAACACACACACACACACACACACATTCTTCGTCACCTACCTATGCATTTTTCATCAAAATTGATGTCATTTTTCAATCTACGTTCAATTGTTTTACAAATGAGTCATCTACTGAATCCTTTCATACTGTCTGATAACCGTTTCGATGGCACAAACCTATACAATTTAAACATTGGAAGATGTTTAAAGAATTTCAAATTTTTTTATTCAAACTTCGCTGTGACGAAACCTCCTAGAGATTGGCGAATGTCACGAAAAAAGCTTCACGTGAAATTTCGAATGGTATGCTTGGTGAAATGGTACATTTTTTTCGAGGTGTATGGTAGATCAAGAAATTTGACAAAAACCTCTGTGGCATAATCTAAGAAGGGCTAAAAATAACAGATGTATATGTAATAGTGTCAAACCGTTGGTTTAGGGATTAACCCTATCAAAACCACCATAGTCGCTTTTACACGTAAAAGAAAATTGGACCACAGGATGATGATAAAACTCAATAATACTGTGGATAGAAATGAAGAAAGAGGCCAAATAACTATGCCGTCACATTAGACCAAAAAAACTGGCATTTAAGGAACATATCGGCAAGAGCTATATCAAGAAAGCGGCATGAGCTTACGGTGTGCAGAAAAATAGCGGGAAAAAATTGGGAATGCCGGAAAATCTGCTCTGTATATACACCATGATGACCTTTGTTACATTCGGCGGCATAGCGTGGGACGAAAAAATTAGAACAAATAACACAATGAAGAGCACTCATAAAAATACAGACGTGCATGCATCTGAATAAGGGGAACGATGACAACATGTCGCACAGCTGGTATGGAGATAATGAGTACAACACAGAAAACTGTCATTAGTATTATCAACGAGAAACCTCCAATAGGAATAAAACTAAAATGGAGAGATAGCAACTGTTTAATGAAAGACCATCCGCTATTCATGGTCCCAGAGATGATATGAACAGGAAATTCGATTTTAATCAACGTTTCCAAATAAACTTAGGTACCAAAAAAGAATGGCAAGGAAAGAGAACACCTCCCGTAAGAAAGGCACCGTTTACTGGTACACAGACGGATCTAGAACGCAAGAACATACCGTCCTGGAACCAAATACTCAGATTCCATGGGACCAGTATCTTCCAGGCTGAGGTCCATGCAATCAAGAGATGTACCCAATTCAATTTGAATGAAGGGTACAAAAACAAGAATATAGGCTATCGTGTCAGATAACGAAGCAGCCATCAAAGCGCTAAGTTCAAACATCATTAACTCTGATCTGTGATCTGTGGGGCTGAATCTTGTATAATAGAAAAGAATATATACAATATAAACAAAATAATATATTTAAAAAAGGTTCTTCTTGTATGGAACAAACAAGGTATTTGCAGTATACGAGAAGCTTTCTTCTTCGTGTACAACAGTAATCATTTAACCAGCCAATATTAAGAGATTAAATTTTTTTTAAAATCAAAATTAACCAAATGAAATTATAGACATATATACCTTAAAATTTCTCACTATGGCACAAAAATTAAAATTGAATATATCCTTCTGCCAGTGTACTCCTTTCATGATTCAGCCTTTTCTCCTCCTCTCGATGAAAACTGGTCAAAAATGAATAGGGACATTTGTAATTTATTCTTATTCTATTAATTTTAATTAAATTAACCGACATGTTCTTGTTAGTTGGATAAAGCAAAATAGAAAATACAAACCAAAAACAAACTAATGTTAATCCTCATGTTTTAATAACGGATTTACTTCGCTAAACATGAAGATTACTCATTTTGAAAACGAAGACATTTTCTCGTCTATTCTCCGTTTTATTCCAGTTGTATTCTCTTTAACCAAGGAAAGACAAAATCTAGAACCAGAAATTCGTAATATTATTGTAAGAAGGAGTCATCGGGGTCACCGGCAAGTGGATATCGAAGAGGTAGTTGGCGTTTCTCAGAGCGTGGTCTCTCGGGATTTAGCCGAGAGACTTGAAGTGCCAATAAGAGGCCTGGTAATGGATCTCAGCGCATTATGACGCTAAGGGAGGACAGAAATATTGTCATTGCTGCAAGACGGAACCCTTTTCGTGTGCCAGCCAGATCTAAATGAAATACAACATGTTTGGCAAGGTCGTTATCAACAGAAACGATTCGTAATCGTTAGGGGAAGTCTTTACAGTGCTAGAAGACGCCGAAGAGTCAACCGAGTTCTCCCTTCAGTGCAGTTTGTTGTACTTCATATTGTTGAAGGCAACCTCATCGCAGTCCGTTATGCCCAAGAAATTATCGAGAAATACATCCCTTAAACCAGAGATCTCATTGGCAGAGATTTTCTATTTCTGGATGACAATGCCAGATCTCATAGAGGCAGAGTTGTTCATTACTGTTCAGAAAACCTGGGGATTTCTCATCTGCCCGTACCCCCATTGAAACTACCCAATCTCTAGACTTCAATCCCATTGAGCACATGTGGGATGCGTTGCAGAGAAGGCTTTTCGGACACCATCCGCAGCCAGTTGACCTGCAGCACCTGTGGTGTGAAATTTTTTATGAAGTTAGTTAGACAATCTTATTAACATTATGCCTAACAGGTGCACAGGAGGTTTTAGCTAGCAGAGAACGTTATCCAATGTGTCCAATAAAAAAATGGATTTAAAACCTTTTAATTTGCTATTTTTCAAAATCCCTTAATTAAATTTTCCTTCAGTACAAAACAAAATAATTTCTAGTACATTTTAATGCAATTTACAATAAAAATGCTAGGAAAATGAAATACTTCAAAATTGGCAATATACCCCTATTCATTTTTGGGCAGTTTATTTGCGATGATCGTCCCCTCTCTTCCTCAGTGCAGATTCCTATCTGAGAATCTTATCACAGATCGTGCAGAATTGCAATACTAAATTAAACAGGTTAGGTATGCAAAACAAAGTCACCCTCTGCTGGGTCTCAGGACATGCGGGAGAAGAAAGCAACGAGAAAACGACGCTATGGCAAGACAAGGGGCTTTATGCTGCTTACAGGACCCGAGCCTTCAGTGGCATAGGAATCCACACTTTTAATGAACACCTCAGGCAGAAGGATAAAAGAAAATGAGGGAACAATCAAACTCACTCATTGGACAACGAACCAAGAACCTTCTAACAAACTTTGGATATAACAGAATACTCAAACGAAGCAAGAAAAAACTGCGAATCCTTACAGGATTCTTAACAATACGCTGCGAACTAAATGGACATCTGAAGAAGACTGGCGTAACACAACACGGCAAGTCCAGATCTGCAAAGAAGCAGAGGAAACACCAACACAGCTACTAACAAACTGTGGTGCCTACACAACTACATTTGCCCACAGGAGGAACTGTTTTTGGGACGGACAATGTAAACTTAGAAGAAATTCATCCACCATAAGTCATTAAGTAATCAAGTTCCTTGATGAACTAGGACTTACCGGTGGGCCATAAGCATTTACATTTTACAATTTTTCAACGTCCCTTTCTTTTTTATGATATATGTATGTGCTTTTTTTCCAAATCAAGTTTAAAAAAAATTATAATATTTTTTCATTTATAGAAGGAAAAATGATATTTGTTTTAATGAACTCTCACTAAATCAATATGTTAAAAATCTAATTGTTTACGTTTTATGTAAATTATAAGTTTATAACTAAGCAGCAACTGCGATGATGGTCATGGACCAAGCTTTGTCTAATTATAATGTTTCAGATTGTTATTATACCTTGTATAAAAAATTAATAAAGGCTATCTAACTATCTAAGTCAGTAAAACATTACTACAATCGAAATACTTAACTGATAACTGTTACTAATTGTGTAATTGCATAACTGATAACTGTTTACAATGGTATTTTGCTGAACGCTAAGTTCCATGAGAAAATAGGGGAAAAATTTTCAGAAATAGGGCTTTATATAAAAGAACAAAGAAGGAATAAAAAAAATTGATTTTTCACAAAACCCGTAAGAGCTTTTAATATAAACATTAGCTTTTTTTGTACGATCTTAAGAATGATTCAATCATTTCCAACGATAAAACCCAAGTATAGTCAATATCAAGAAAGTTCGACGAGTAATAGAGCAACTGAAAGTAGGAAACAGAACTGCAAGTGGATTTCAAAAAATTTGAAATATAAATTTGAATATTTTAGGTGCCCATTTATTTGTGACATTATTGGAGACGGATTTCCAATTTCTCAAGTAACACTTGTGTGAAAAGCGGCTGGGGGATTGGAGTTAATAAGAGATGAAAGAGGATCAGTCCGTTTCGAATTCGGCACAAATCCACTTCAATAATTGGATTTTGATAAAAATATCCTCACCTAACGAAACCTTTTTGACGTCTAATTTCTGATTTCTGCACAAAAATATCGCTGGATCATCGTGCTAAACTGAAACTTAAGCAGGCGAAGACAAAGGATCAAAAAGATAATCCGTCCTCTGGCGAAACCAGGAAATGTGAAGATTGACGAACTTTAACTTAATTTTCTTATGTGCCAAATGAAATCTACTTAAATATTTGGTGTTGCGTCAAAGAAACTTAATTACAAATTTGACTCAAGGGACGAACATAAATTGTTGAACCAAGTTTTTCATTAAACTGAACGTCATCTGGAAGGTGGAGGTGTCATAGTGTGGGATGACATAACGGCATCAAGTCTGTTCCTTCTTGTAAGAATCTCTTGAAGTGTTAACAACCAGATTTACGTAACAACCGTCTGGTAGTGTTATCTTGTAGAAGACGAAGATTTCCAGACTGTTGCTTGTGATTTTTAAAAGATAAAGTCCCTTGTCACGTTTCGAAATCTATGAGACAAGGGCTGACAGAAAATTGACAGAGACTCGGGTATAGGAACTCCGGTAAATTTTTTTGGTAAATTAAAGTAAGTAAACAATTTTTTCAATGAAGATTGAGGCTTGTGATTGATTCAGAAAATTCAAATAAACATATACCATCGAATTATTGTATTTGTAAAAATAATCAAGACTTAAAATTTAAGTAAATTGGAAAGTAAAATTGTGTTTGAAGTGAGGCACTCCTATTTATAATATTCCACCGACATTTATTTTTTTTAAAAAAACATATCAGAGATTATTTTTGTGGGCTTAAACTGAGCTAAGCCGCAACGACCAAAGCAGTCAATTATAACTTTTTATAAACGCATATTATTCAGAACTTGTTTCATTAAAATAATACATTTTAAGGGTTATATATAGATTTTCCAGCTCTAATTCAAATTTCCCAAACAAAATTGAATTTTTCTTTAAGCAAATTAAACTTTCTCAAATCAAATTGAACCTGTTCTAACCAAATTGAACTTTTTGAAATGCAATTGATCTTTTTCAAAACCAAAGTTGTTCAAGACCAAACAAACTTTTTTCAAATCAAACTGAAAATTTTCTAACCATACTTGAGCATTATACTACCTTAACTGAAGTTTTTTGTAGAACAGATCAAACTATTGCTGTTTTTTTTTCCAAATAAATTAAGTACAGTCTTTTACCAATCGAATTATACTTTCTAAAAAACAAAATCAATCGGTTCAAGAATAAAACGCATTGTTTTCAAAACCAAATTATACATTTTTCCTAACCAAGTTGAACTTTTTCCAGAAATCAACCTATTATTAATTTCCAAACCAAACTAATATTTTTTCAAATCAAATTATCTTTTCTCGATCAACTTATGCTTTATCAAAACCAAAATCAATATTAATATCTTATATTATTATTTCCAAATCAAATTGAGTCTTTTTCCAATCAAATTGTATTTTTTCATAACTAAAATCACCCTGTTCAAAATCAAAACGAACTTTTTTCAAACAAAATTGAATCTTTTTCTTAACCAAATTGAACATTTTTCAAGATAAATGGAACGTTTTACAAAAATAATAATAATAATAATCAACCTTTTTGCTAATCAGATTAAACTTTTTTCAATCAAATTGCACTTTTTCAAAACCAAAATCAATATATTATAACGCATATAAAAGCGAACTGTTTTCTAACCAAATTACGCTTTTTCCAAACCAAATTTTACTAATTTAATTTTTTTTAAACAAAATCAACCTGTTCCAAATCAAATTGACTTTTCAAAAACATAACGAACCTATTCCAGATCTTTTTTTTTTCAGACCAAATTGAACTACTTTTTGAAACCAAATTGTAATTTTTTCTAAACAAATTGAACCTATTCCAACAACAAAACAAATTAGTCTTTTCCAAAATCAAATTAAATTTTTTTCCTCTCAAATTGTGATTTTTCAAAAGAATATTAAACTTTTTTCTAACGAAATTGAACTTTCTTGGAACCAAAATCCACTTGTAACAAATCAAATTGATCTTTTTTAAGTAAAATTATACTTTTTACAATACAAATGCTGATATTTCAAAACTGAAACCAACTTTTCCAGGTCAAATTCATTTTTTCTAAATCATCGCAAATGTTTTCAAAGTCTAATATTTCCTAACCGAAATCACCCTTTTCTGTATCTGTGTATATTTATTTTATTTTATATTACTATTTATATTATTTTTTATATAAACTTAACTAACATAAAGTCTATGTGTCCATAACTTTAAGAAACCCATCATCAGAGTTAAATAGCCTATAATATTATTTTTAACGTTTATAAGTTTAATTATAATAAGAATTGTTTAATAAATTAAAATGATGTAATAGGTTATAAATAAAATTTTGCAGCATCTGCGGCAGATTTTAATGTTTAAACGAATTTATTTATTTATTTTTTTGTTACTGAGAAAATAGTTTCATTTTAAATTTGTATTCGTGTCAGAAGTTTTTAAGTTTCTTACTACAACTTTTTAATATTTTAACTTAGCAGGGTTTTTCTTTAATTTGATTTAACGTAAACTCTTAAGACGTATTATTTATGTATATGCATTAATTTAAAAAGTTTTAAAGGTTATGGTTGATTTTGGCCTGTTATAAAAGTAACAAAAGGTAAGTTATAAGAGAATTGGAACGAACTTTATTAATTTAGCATATCATTTATATGTATGTGTATCCCCCCTTGGTAGCAGTTTGAACGTCCTTGACCATTCTGTTCCGCATATTTCTTCTAAATGTTCAATACATGCTCCCAACCACCGGTTTATAGATAAATGAAACGACCGACCAAGATGATCAAGGACGATCATACAGTTAACTCGAGGACCAACCCACAGAACTTGGTAACTGATATTTCTTTATTCCTCTCCTTCCAGAACTCCCAATTGGCAGGAGAGAGGGGATACTTAGTCGGCAACGTTAGGCAGTCCAGTGTTAGCAAAGTGCCAGAGAGGAAGACAATGCCCTTTGCTAGGTGAGTGAAGTTGTGCATCATTTTATACGTTATAGTTCATTTACATCCTGGTAGAAAAAATTACATTTGTCGTTTTAAAGTCTTGTATAAAGTCAAACAAGTTTTGTGTACTACTCTATATTTTTTAATATTTTTGTCTTTCTTTTATACCTATACATTATTTCAGAATATTATATCAACGATATTTATTGCCTTAAGATCGAAAATAATTATTAATAATACTAATAAAATTGATTTTTACTTTTAAAAACTTGACTTTTAAAGAGCTGTCCTCACCCACACATCAAGCTGTTATGCTATTCCACCCCCACCCTCCGATGGCGACAATAACATCAGCAATTAATTTCTATCGAGTTCACGTAATAATTAAACTTTTGCGTCCAATCGCTGAATAGTTTCTGGATAATGAAATAAAAAAGTAGCATCAGGTACGTTTACACCAACATCCTTAAGATTACATAATTGTTTCTCGTTCGATCCAGATTGTGATACCATTAAAAATACAATTTAGGCCAGTCGCGGTTGACACACTGACACTTAACTTTGGGACAAAGCCCGTGTATGTGTCCGGCATGCAGATGAAGGGTGTCCATATAGAGATCGAGTAGGAAACCCGTATAAAAATTACCATTTTATGTTAAATGTGTTGTGATCGTGTATTTATTGGCGGGAATGTGTAACGTAAGAGATGACGGAGTATTTAGCACCACATCTATCCCCAATTAGATTAGTTATGTAGTTTGTATATTGAGTGATGGATGAATATGGAGTAGTCCGACGCCCTACTTGATTGAACGGTAGATAAAGGAAAATGAATTTAAAAATGAGAACGATTCTGAGCATCGACATTTAGACACGCATGAATACGTGATAAAGAAAAATCATGAGTTATGGGCTGAAATTGATAAATCACAAACCCAACTTCGAAATAGGAAAATAAAATTAACTTAAAAATGTTTAACCTCTTCCAACTTTAATTACCCATTTCACACACCAAATTGAACTTTTTCCAAACCAAATTGAATTGTAAAAATATTAATTTGACTTTTTCACAACCCAATTCTAATATTTCAAAACAAAAATCAACCTTTCCAGATCAAATTGATTTTTTCTCCAATCAAATTGAACTTTTTTCATGCCAACTTGAATTTTTTGCTAATTAAATTATACTTTTATCGAAATCAAATTTAATTTTTGCCATATTCAAATTGATTTTTTTAAACAAAATTTAAATTTTTCCAATGCAAAATTAACATTTCAAAACCAATTCCCCCTCATTCAAATTGAGCCTTTCCCAGACAAATTGAACATTTTTATCAATTATAACTTTTTACAAATCAAATACTAATTTTCTACACTTCTTTCATACCGAATTCAACCCTTTTTAGATCAGTTCGACTTTTTTCTGTTTATATTTCAAATACAACTTTTTAACAAACCAACTGTTATTGTTTTTATCAAGTTATTGTTAATTGAGTAATATTTTCATATTGTTATATTGAGTAAATATTTTCATAAAAATTGGTACACGTGATTCTACATTCAAAAAACTCAACGAAAATAATCTTTAGCATTTCATGTATATCATGTAATAATATAATATACTCGAAGACAAAAAATCTGACGCTTGTATTTATTTGTTTATTTTTCATAATAGCTAAGCATAGAGATTACTAGTTCACTTAAAAAACAAAAAAATTAATTGTGTTTCTAATCTTTTTACACTCTTTAGATTAAAAAATAATGAAAATACGTTCAAGTTCATCCTTCCCAGAGCCTTCTTTGATGAAACAATAAATTTTAGTAAAAAATTTACTTTTTTTTTTTTCTTAAAAGCATGGTTTTAAGGCGAGAAACTCTCGCCCGGGCAGATGGTTTGGCCAACTAAGGACAACTTTTCCGTTATATAGTACAAGGTCTGAGTGTGCGCCACGCTCTAACGTCCACGATGGTCTACAGCGGTTTAGGACCACCGGAAACTCGATCGAAAAGAAGGTAGTGGTCGACCGCGATGTACGAGGGCTAGAGGCGATTGCTAAAGTGCTCTAGCGCACTACGGAACCGTTTAATGGCTTCTGAGCAGATGACCGGGACCGTGTGTGGAGAAGACGTGGAGAACGCTTTGTTACAAGTGCCAATCGTGGGTCACAGCCTTTTCAAAGTCAGTCAATTTTGTATGGGGTGGAATCGATGTCACATATGCATCCCATAGAACACTTTTGGGACATGATAAAGAGACTGGTTAGACATCGTTCGCCTTCCCCAACAAGCGATGAACAGCTTTAAAGTGCACTTGTTGAAGAATGGGATTATGTTTCTCAAGACGAAATCCGATCGCTTATTTACTCGTTGCCTTGGATACTTTAGGCCCTCCGCGATTTAATTTAAATTTAACCCTAATCTCTAATTTTAAATTTAATATTTTGGTGAATTCTCTACAAACCGTCATAATTAAATATTTTTTATCGTAACTCATCAATTTCTGATGTCGTTTAATTCGGTTTACATTAAAATAAGTATGCTGCAATTAGTATAACGATAAAAATGTACATAGTTTGAAATAAACATTTTTTACCTGAAAACTTCAACATTTTCATAAACCGTTATGTGTTTAGCGGTCATAATATACCTATTTAATTATTTCAATTAATTATACTTTTTATCTAAAGTCTTGGTAATTTTCATAAACCTTGAAACCCGTGATTGTAGGAGATAGAAAATAGCTCAACGAACATAATGTTTAGAATTTCATACTCATATGTGTCATGTAATAATATAATATAATCGTTAAATTTTACAAGTTCAGCCAAATCAAACTTTTTGGAATTAAACAAAAACTAATCGAACTTTTTCGATTTTGCCGAAAATTTCAATATTGCCGACTCAAATTCAACCTTTTTTCGTTCATATTGACTTTTTTATAATCCATTAAACAATTATTAAACTATTTTATGAGGTCTTTGTGGATGGTTAGTAACATAGAAGGGAGCGTTGAAGATGCGACGGAGGACTTTTGATTGAAAGGATTGGTATCTTTGGTTGTTGGATGGCTTGATCCCACAGCTCGACTCCGTAAGTCCAAATCGGTCTGATTAGTGTTTTGTATATTTTAGTATGTTGTGTGTACTCATTGTGGATTTGGCTGGCTCTTGTATTCATTTAGCCGCCGTGTAGCATCCGCCACCGTGTGCATCAGTCGAAGATTAGGTCTAGGTGGTCTTGGGTTACTTTTGCTACTACGATGGGGTCAGAATGTGAACAGAGGATTGCGGTGTCGTCCTCAAAGGTCATGATCTGGGTCCAACAATATGTAGGAATGTCAGCGGTGTAGACTGGGTAAAGCATTGGTCCTAGGATTCTCCCTTGGGGAAGACCATAATGAGCTTGATGTGTTTAAAGTCAGAGGCAACCTTGAACCAGCGATCCGAAAGAAAGGACTTCAAGGTGAGATAGTAGATGTGGAGAACCATAATTTGTAATTAATAATTAGTAATTAATTGATTTTTAATACTATCAGATGTCTGGATCTGTCCCAATTTTTGAGAGGTTTATTTATTTTCCATTCCAGTTTATTTTCTTATGATTCGTGCTTATAATGGGTACGGTCTTCAACAAATCGTTCGCATTTGTTTGTTTGTTTCACGTTTGTTGTTGTTGATTTCTTCATGTTTCGTTTGCTCCCTTAAACGGGCGTAAAGCGCTACTTTCGAGATTATCGTTCGTACTGGAGAGAAAATTGTTACTTTTTTCGCGAAATAAGCCCTCTCAATTAGTAAAAGCAACGGGTTTTGAAAAACCGAGAGCTTTTTCCAAATCAGATTATACTTTTTCAAACTAAATGTAAATACTTTCCATATAAAATTATAATTTTTCAAACTAAATTTTAATATTTCCAATCTGAACTTAAATTAAAGACTTTTTCCTTCTTCAAAATGTTTCTATTTTCACTAATACCAGTACAACTTAAATAAAATTACATTGGCTTTTGATATTTTGTTCTTTTTTTATATTTTTGCATAGAAAAGAATTCTGTAAGGAGTTCTTTTAAATATCTACCGTAGTCTTTGACCTAGCAAAATTTTTGATTTATTAAAAAACTTATTTAATGACTCATCTTTTAGTAAATGATAAGATCTCTTTTTAAGAGTACGCCATCAATAGCAACTCCATCTTTCTTTTAATAGTTTTGTCCTCATATTTAAAATATCCATTCATGGACACGAAGGACAGGTGTTCCAGATAAAATGCAATAAGGAGATCTGGATACTTTGAAGAGATTTCATTTAATATAGATAGAGATGAATACACATGAATATTATGTAAATAGTTATTGAACATCAAAGAAAATTATAGTATAATCTCTCCCTCTTTGATCCTTTGTTATGAATTCTTCACATTATATTTATTCTCATCTGAAGAAAACAAGAAGGCAGAGAGAAAGGATACTATAGGTCTAAGGATAATGTTTTATTCGTATTAAAAACACCTTTAAACGATCCTAAAAATTTTTAAAAAGACCCCCAGATGATCCATTAAAGGCTGATCCATTAAGGGAGGGTGATAAAAAAAAGTCATCTGCTTAACTTTGATTTAACTTAAACTTTCACAAGATAAAAGTACCTTATACATTTTTATTTACAATTTTTAGAATTAAAAAATTTTATTTTGTTTTGTTTATAAAAACTAAAAACGTCGAATTTCAAATATAAAAGAAAAAGAAAAATTTGGAAAAATGTCAATTTGGATTGAAAAAAAGTTCAATTTGGCGCAACTAGAAAACGTTAACGATTATATTATACAGACATAAGGAATTCTAAACAATATTTTTGTTTATAAAATCATTTTACCCTATTGTAAATGAATTTGAAATATAAACTTGAATTGATTTAGAAAAGGTTGAATTCGGTAGATAATGAAAAAAGTTAAATTTGAATGGAAAAAAATCCACTTGGTTTTGATAAAATATAATTTTATTTCATAAAATCCACTACGGCTCGAAA